TACTTGGGACTTTCTTTTGATGCTTGAGAACAGGTTTCCAATTTGGAGTTTGTTTATTATTCAGGTCATGATGTGCTGACGGTCAGTGCTTGTTAAGGCCAAGTTGAGAGGAAGAGTCATGAGCTCTCTCTCTCACTTGGAAGGTTGCCCAAGGCAGCAATCATTCCTCAGTTCATGCTACTAGAATTGTTTCGTCTGTACAGATTTGCCAAACACGTGGTCAAGATAAAATTACATATTTTTCCTTGAGACTTTCCTGGTGTTAGTGAAACTTGATTGTTACGACAAAAACCATGGTCAGTCTCTTTCCTTTTTTACTGTCCCTTTGGCTTAGTTTCTTTTTCTGCTGCATGAAACTTAACAGCTTGTCTAGTTGTTTTTCCTTCCATGGTCTCCTACAATAGCCAAATGCAAAGTACAGTAACTAATTAATGTTTAGGTCCCTGGGATTGTAAGGGAATGTATAAGCAACAAAAACAGTATCACCATATGGATTATGGGATTTTTTTGGTGCTCCTACCATGCAAGGCAATATACTTACAGGGTCTATAAATTTAGCACAAACTTGCTATTGATACTACATTTGCAAAACAAAACCTGAATTTAATACTCTCAATTTTTATTCTAATTTTTTTTTTTTCTCCTTCTGTTTTTCCATGTAACTGTAATCTAGTAACTCTGGGTAGTGGCGATAAAGCCTCCCGCAGCACGCATCATACGTATGTATCTTGAAGCAATTGGAGAAATGACCCTTAGCGCTTAAAATGATTAACTGTGCTAAGCAGTTTCTTTTGAGCAGAGTCGAAATGTACTGAGAAACAATGTTCGAGTTTGCTGTCCAAAACCATGAGTAATTAAATACTTGGAGTGCTATGTTTATAAAAACACCATTCCATTACAGATACTTCTAGTGTCTCAGCAGTGCTGTGAGCCATCACTACTGCTGGTGTTTGTACTCACGTAGTGTGTAGAAGTCCCACCTGAAGGGAAGGCTCGTTTTACAAGGTGCTAGGTGTGAGACTTCTGGCACAAGATAATTGTGTCACTTGCTCAAATGCATGTTTTTGGCTTAGCAAAACAAAGGGAGAAGGATGATGCTACTCCTTTTCATCTGTTGCTAGAGTGGTGTTGTACAAAAGGGCAGATGGGTAAGTGTGTCACAAGAGGACATGGCTATAAACTGTGAATTTACGTAGATTTGAAATAAGAAAAGGTTTCAAGTTATCAAAGCAGTGTTGTCATTTTAGAGCGATCTTTCATCAGCTTTAAAAAGGGCTTATATAATGTGGTTGATCAGAACATTAGGAGGACTAAACAGGCAAGGAGTTTTGTTCCAGCTCTGTGACCTCTGCCCTTTGGAGAACTGGAAATAACTGCCACCCACTTGTCACTCAGATCTCCATGTCCCCCTGTGAAACTGTAATGTAAGAAAGGGACACCTGAAGCAGAAATTTCAGCTTCTTAGAGTTTTTTTGCCTCACGGGTCAAATCACTGCACTGGAATTGATGGTAAGGATCACTGGGGTCGGCGTGTATAGCATCTGTCTTACCTTGTATTTACTGTGTGATAGTAACAAAAAACCTTTTGATTAACTTTTTTTTTTTTTTTTTTTAACCAAAAATCTGATAAATTAGTTCACTGGGTTTTTTTAACCAATTCAGCACCAAAAGCTTAATGCACACAATAACACAAATCCAGAAGTAACAAAACCTGAACTAATACAAATCCCGTTCATGTAGAGAGATGTAAAGCTGGCCTGGCCTGGGAGTATCTTGTTCTAAGAAATGTGTTTCCACTTCCTTTTGCTTGGGCTGTGCAGCACAAACTTTTGCTTTAACTGTAGCTCACTTGGAGTATAGAGGATCCATTTGTTCCCTTAGTCTGTGTAGGCTCCGAAATCCTTTTCTCTAGGAATAGCCATGGATGGTTGACAAGTCTGAAGGACAAGGAGAAAAACTCCAAAATTTACTTGCAGAGTATTTGCTGCAGTGTTTAAATAGTGGGTGTAGATTGTTTTGCTACAGAGAGGATTCAGGTTTATCCACAGTGTCTAATGGTTCCTCTGGAGACGTGTACCCCTGTAGGAGTTCTGCAAATTGCAGTATTGTTGCGTTAACTGAATGCACGATGGCGTTGGTATTGTGCTGGCTAAGGCTCCTTAGTTTACAGTGGGGTTGGCTTAGGTTTTTTTCAAAGGAGGATTTTGGAAAGTGAAGTGAAAAACAATTTGGGGATGAAATTGTATCTTTTCCACGTAGTCTGCACAGGAGTTAGCTGTACATGATTCATGATTCCGTACAGCTATTTAGGCCGGGAGGTGGGATTGCTTTCTTGTGAAAGCTGAGAGAATGCAAAATACTGTCTCTAATATTTTTTTCTTTTCATTCTAACATACGCATCCTCAGAGTGCCACTATTCTGAGAATCTTTGACATTATGATCTACTCAGGCTGACTTTCCTCTCTGTCAGGCTGCTTGTCTAAAAGTTGTAACCCTGATAAGTCAATACCTCATTTATTTACCAAACTGGGAAGTCTGTAGAAAATCCCAGCCATGGGGAAGTTATATAGCTGGTGTATGTGTTTTGTGCTGCACTGCATTGTATTCTAATGGCTTTCTGGGCTCGTAGTCCTCACTAACCATTCTAAGGTGTTTAAGCTTTGCTGTCTGGTACTGAGTGGATTTAGAAAAGTATGCTTGTCATGAGGGAGTAGGGTAAAAGAACAAATCCATCCTAAAATAATGGTATAATTCTCCCACATATTCACACAGGGGAAGCAGTCCATTTTCTTGCCTTATTTCATGTTTTTTTTCCCTTGACATTCAAAAAAAAAGGGGGGGGGGGGGAGGGAGGGGGAGCTCTACTGGAGTCTCTGTGCATTAAGGGTAAGATAAACTGTTTTCTTTTTTCATTTCCTGCCATTTCATGCTTCCGTCAGGACTTTTCCAAGAGAAAGGAGAGGTCAGTATTCAGTTGTTTGGGAAAAGAAGACTCAGCTACAGATATTTAAACAAACCCAAAACAGCTTAATTGGTCACATGAGGAAAGCAAGATACCAAGGTCATCCTCTCCTTCCCTTGTATGGCATCCAAGTGACCCTAAACATCTTGATTATTCTTTTTCTCTTAGCTTGCCTCTATGTTTAGCTTTGTAGTTTCTATTAATAGCGCCCCAAATGGGTGCTGTGCGAGGCAGGCAGAGGTACCTGCCCACACTGCGTGGAGGCAGACGTCCTGCCACGGGAGCCGGGGAAAAGGGGTTGGGGCTCAAGTGCGGCTGTACCTCCAGCCTTAGGGAATTAGTTGCATAGGAAGGGGAAGATATGCAGGGTGACTGGCTGTGGGGTGGCCGTAGGCTCTAGAAAGTCTACGGAGAGGGGATCAATCTTCTGGCAAACTGCACTTAACCAGGAGGCTTGTCTCCAGGAATCCTTTTTTGCGTTTGCAGGGAACTGTACATTTTGTGTTCAATTCTGCTTAAAAGATTCATCTTCAGACAGCGAATGTGAACCCGTGAATTCTCTCTGGGTGTCAGATTGTTTGTAATTTCCAAACTTTTGAAGTTTTCAGGTCTTCTACACAGCATTTATTTGCTGACCTGCCTTCAGCAAACTAGTAACTTTGTGGCCCTGAAGAGAATAATCGTACTGGAAACCATTTAATGTTCTACTTCCTCCAGAAAATGCTTAAAGAGTGAATGCCTTTAAATGTCGGTCTGCTCTTTGCACCTAAATGTTGTTAACATTGGGTAAAGAGAAGACTCAGTGAAGTATCTGAAGTACACCAACATGAAGTTTCACCCAGAAAAACACTTTTAGTTAGGTGAGAGACAGCTGGCCAAGAGACGCTGCTTAAAGCTCTAATACAGCCAAGTCTTGAGTTTTAGTCTTTTCAAGTACTTGAATACCATGGCAACAAGAGCTTCAATGCTTGAGATCATTGGGGACAGAATTCACACACTTCCCTCGGAGGAGGCAATAGTCCTCTTAGAGTTTTGAAGTGGTCTGCAAATCTGAGGCGGTCATGGGTGCTTGTCAAAGAGTTTCTCTCCCCGGACCTGACCTTCCCAACAACCAGAGCACTTTGCGGTGCCCTGTTCCCTTTAGCCAATTCCCAGATCTGTGTGGGGTACATCCTATCGGAGTGCATCCTAATTAAAGTTGCATCTGTGAAAACATTTACTGGGCTACAGCAAAATCATGCTTAACTCCAGACAAGACCCAAGATGTTGTTTTTGAAAAGTCAAATGTGAAATTCCAGTCAGGCGGCAGAGTTGAAAGTGCAGCTAGCAGAGAGGGCATCTCTTTATACCCAGACCATGATGAGAATCTTGGGCAAGCCATCCTGACCCCAAAACCAGCTATATTAATGTTATTGATAATGAGACATGCAGCTTATTGCTTGCTCTTGAGAGGGATCAGACATTGGTAAATAGCAAGATGAGCAAGGACCAGATGACATCTTGGAAGTGGGATTAAGTTACATCATAATCAAAATTTGCTAAACCTGGGAGAATCTCCTCGGTATCTTGTCAGGCTCTGGAATGGTCTGCCCAGGGAGGTGGTGGAGGTATTTAAAAGAAAGGTGGATGAGGTGCTTAGGGACATGGTTTAGTGGTGGGATGGCAGTGTTAGGTTAACGGTTGGACTTGATGATCTTAAAGGTCTTTTCCAACCTAAATGATTCCATGATTCTATGATCTTTCTTGCTGAGGTTATGAGACATGGCTCCCTGAGGAATAAAATCTTGTTTTCGGTGATTTACTGTTTTAACATGAGGGTGTTTGAAGACCCCCAGATGCTTTAATCAAACAGTTGCTCAAGTGTAGCCCTCCTCTAGATGCAGGTGACATTCCTGTCTCAAATGTGGCAGTGCTTTGACAGTACTGTGCCTGTGGTACATAAATTGGGTTAATGTTCTGTATTATTAAAATGGTGGCACTCATTTCTCCCATTTAATTTTTCTAAAAGACATAATTTACTCCTTTCTTCTCTTAACAGCACTTGAAAAGAAAGCACAAAGGAGGTGTTTCCCTCTGCTGGCTCATCATCACCGTACCTCTTTCCCATTCTGCTTCCTCCTTATAATCCCGAAGTGAAGATGAGTAGCCTGCTGCGAATATGACGTCTCTGACTGGTGTCATTGCCTCCCACCAGTCTGAGTGGGTGTCCTTCACTGATGAGCTGCTCCTCCCTGTTAACCCACGAGGTAAGCGATCGTTGATTTTCTTTGTGAGAACCTTGTGAGACTTTCTTTGTTTGAATTAGATCTACTGTCATAGATCTAGCATCGCAGAGCTTGCCTTCTAAGTGGATGCAGAATGTGCAGAGGTTGAATTATCTCCTGCTACCCATATGTAATGGGAGAATTTGGGCTAAAAGTGTAAAATACTCTCCTAATGTGAGATTTCCTTAGCGTAGATCTATTACAGGGTTTGGATCTGTCCTTTGAGATTCAAGGCAGTATCCAACTGACCGTGGAGGAAGTCTCACCTTTTATAACTGAGTGCAAAACTATGCCCAGTGTTACTCTATAAATTACATTAGGTGAAGGAAAATTTTCCACCCACATTTAATGGCAAACTTTAGATATTGCAATAAAAAACAATGAAGTAATGGTGAGTCCTACCATTCTTTCTATTTTAGGTAGCACTGAGGAGCCTCTGGAAAAATGTTTTTCTTCCTCAGACACCTCCTCAGAAGAGAACCATAATGCGGATGGAGAATTTCAAGACCCCTCCCACACAAAGCTGGAAGATGCAGCTGACCAGCCCAAGGTGGATTCTGCTGTGCTTGGGAACCACGTGTGTCCCAGAGCTGATCTGTCATCATCCATCAGCACTTGGGTTCAGTTTGAAGATGCACCGTGGACCAGTGCTCCATCGACCCACCCACAAGCAGGTGAGGCAAATGCATGAAAAGGTCCATTCCAGTAACATAACAGAATACTGTGAGAGCCTATAGGATTTTTTTCCTTGCTCTTTGATTTCTCAAAGGTTGAACTTTGATTACTTTGCACTGTATTTCAACACAATCAATGTTATCAGTGTTTCAAAAAGGGCTCATAATTTTGTTCTGGGTTCAGCTAGCAGTATTTTGGTTTTGTAAAGAAAACAAAAGGCTTCTGTGATTCATTCCACCTATGGCTTAACCCTAGAGACTGCCAAAACGTATTCATGGGGAAACAGCATGTTTCAGCAGTGACATTTCTTAAGTACAGGTGTGAACAGCCATCGAAAAAGTCTGAGCTGTGTTTGCCTCTGTAATCTGGAACTGAAAGAATGGTGACTGCTGTCCTCTGTGGTTGTAGTCTTTATCTGCTTATAGTCCCCATACGGTTTTTGCCAGAAGCTTAGTGAGACCAATGACGAGTGTGCCGGTACCCATCAGTACTTTCCTCTGTCTTTTGATGCTGTGATTTAGCAGCTGGAGAATTAAAAAGACAACCAAAGTTGACCCTAATTCCAGGACTGCATATACTTTTCTTCAAATGTAAGAGTTCTTTCTGACATACTTTAAACACGCATGCAAAGCCTCTGGCTTGCTTCCTGAGCTTATGCTAACTGATACAGATGGGCTTCTGCCCCTCCTCACAGGATGCTGTGGAGTAATTGCCCAAGAAAATGTTAGTTTACTTTTTCATGTTTAAATTGAGATTCTCTCTTAATAATTCCACTTCGTTCCTGCCACTTATTAAAGCAGTTAAAAGAGTTATGGCTTATGCTGCTCACTCTGTCCATCAAATACTCCCTGAGACATGAATAATACTTCTATCAGAAAGCTTGGATTGGCAGCTTTGGGTTGGTTTTTTTTTTGTCTGTTCTTTTTACAGGTGCTACAGACTAGTCCGTTTGAGACAGACCTTTGTGCAGGAGAAGTAGGTGTTTCTTCAGGCCAAAGGAAGTTTCTCTTAAGCTCTGCTTAAGGTGTTATCTTTTTATTTATTTTTTGGTTGTTATTCTTAGTTGTAAATACTTACTGATCCTGGTGATGAGGAGAGAAGTGTCCTAAGCGATCTGTGTCACTGCGGGGGTTTTTACACACGATCTTTTGGTGTCTGACTGAGATCCGTGGAGGAGGATGGTTCCCCTGGCAGTCAGATCAGGATGTACTCCATGTACTCCTCCCACTCGCGTGGGAGGCTGTTGTTCTTTAGCTATATATGAACCCTAAGGAGGTGATGTGGATATCTTAAAATCCTTATTTATGAGCTAGTCCCTCTTCTATTCTGGAGCCTGTATTATAAGTGGCCAGACCAGTGCAGCTGACAGCCTCTAAAGGGAAGGTCGCGGGGCAGAGGAGATGACAGCTCTTTGTCTCTGGCCCTCTACTCCCAAGGGCGTTTGACAGCAAGAGGTAGAATAAACTTCAGCCTTATTGTTCTCAATTAATCTGCAGGTCACGTCTTTTTTATTTTTTTTCTATGGGCAGCAGCAAAGCTGGAGACTCTGTGTTATAACCACGGTACCCTGACACGCTTGGTGGAAAGCCCATGGTGACAGCAATTATTCATTTCCAGTAGCAAACAGCCTGCATATGAACAATAGTGAATAGCCAGATGGGGGTGGAGGGGAAGAGTATAAAGGCCAAGTACGGATCGGTGTGAGGAGGATGGAGATGTTTGAAATCTGTTTCCCGTGCAGGCAGCTGTGAAGAGCAACGTCCTGAAGGCTGAGCACCCCTGGCCACGTTCCTGTCGGGGTTTCAGCGCTGTTAGGAAATCGTCTGTCCGTCTGTCCGCGCTAAAGCAGCTGCACAGCTGACTAGATAATTACTCAGGCTGATGGCCAGGCTGCCTGGAAACACATTTTGAAAAGGGCTTGCAAAGTGGCATTTCCAGGGTCCCGTGAGAGTAGAGAGGATGGGCCCTAGGAGAGTGCGATGCTGTCTTATGCTGACCTCAGGGCTACAGTATTTTTGCACAGGTTTCCCTGAAGCAAACCTTGTCCCAAAGTGCTTGCAATCTAAAAGAATAGTATTTTGTAGACAATTGCTACACAGTGGTTATCCTATAAGAAATACATTTGAAAGAAAACCAAGGCTAATGCTGGACCCTTGTTCTGGGGAAGGCGAAGACAGTATTGGGGGAGCAGAAATTAGGGGGACTGATAGCGAGAAACAGGGCTGAAAACAAAGGCAAAAAATTCAGAAGGTAAGAAGTAAGGTCAAAAGCTGAGGTACAGAAATGAAAAGCACTCATTTGTGAACCTCATAGTGGAAATTAACTTTATTCAGGAGATTCTCGTAAACCATTTATTCTACCAGGGTCAGGCAGAGTAAATGCTAGGCAAAATCTTTCTTTCAGGATATTTCTGCTTTTCAGATAACTGGCATAGATAACTGGCAGCCACCAAATCACGTGGACTTCTCCCTGGGAAGCAGTAACTCTTGAGTGAGGCCACAGAAATATTTAGTCACAGAAATGATGCATTGTGGTGCCCTCTTCCCCGTTTTCCTTTTTCTGGGCAAAGAAGAAACTTCGTTTTTCTCATAGTTAGTATCAGGCTAGTCAAACTCCTCAAACTGATACTGCAAAAGTAAAAAAATTGGATTTTTAGGCTCACCCAACTGTTCCTATCACAAATGTTACATAATCCGTAAATGATCACAGCCAGCCGGTGACATAACATTTGCATTTGTCACTCAGTGGGCCTCCAGCTCGCAATCTCATATTCTAGCAGCGTTAGCTGCGCTCTTGAATTCAATGAGATATTCAGCAAAGCACCGAAATTGGAGCAAGGCAAGATGTGTTACATCATCTGTTCCACACAACACGCACCCGTCACCCTCCCCTCTGCTTCTTCCCGAGAGCTTTGTCTGGTTTTAAATGGCTCAAGTAACTTGGACTCCCACTGTGTCCCTTGAGAGGCTATCCCACAGTAAAGCAAATCTCAATTTAACCATTTTGTGTTGTTCTGTCTGAAAATAGGAAGTACATGCAACACGAGATCAGCAGCTGAAAACTAGACCAACTGTGATGCTGTCCTAAAATCAGAAAAATCTGAGATCCTAAGTGATAGGAAAGGAAACGATGCTAACAAGGCTGATTGTAATACAGCATTAGGGATCAAGGAATGGGTCCTCAAAACATCAGAGAGGAATGAATGCTTCAAGGTATATCTGCATATTAAAAGCCAATCCATTGTATTAGGAACAAACACATCAAGAAAAGGAAAACGGATGTGGAAGGAAACATTTTTCAGTTTAGGAAACAATGAGTTGATTTTCAGTATCCTACACATGCTACAGGATTTGCATGCTAGGGACAGTTCTGGCACTGGTCTGTCAATACAAACAGATTTCTGAGAAATTCCTGCAGCTGAAAGGCCATGACTGCATCTATTGACATTAGAGACCAAATTCCAAATTTCTAGGAAAAAAAAAAAAAACAAAAACCTACCTCAATTAGGAATTTGGTTTCAGCACTTCTAGGAATCTGGAGAGCAGCAAGAGCATCTGAAGAAGGACCTAAACATGTGTAGATGTTTACTTTTGCTTGTCTTGCTTTTTGAGATTGATAGATAGTTGTTTGGCTCAGCACAGGGGAAGATGCACTTTTGCCCGTTCCAGGGGTTAGTGTTGGGGAACCTAGAACAGTCAGATGTGGAAGTTGACTGCAGTAAGATTTTAAAGAACTTCTGTTGCAGGAAAAGGTCTCTATGGTTATGATTTTCCAAAGTACAAGTCTTTTTCTTTAGAAAAAACAATTATATTCTTCCAAAGTGGCCCAACTTCTCTGGAATAAAATTAATTTGCCCTTATATAGAAGTATTTTGCAACACTATTCCAGTCAGTCTCCCTCTTAGACAAAAATTGGTTTTGGAAAGCACAAAATAAGTTGACAGTATATGAGTTATTAAATCTTACGTGTTTCTAAATTAGCTTATGTTTTTCATATTGCTGTGACTGAATTTAAACAAAAAAAGAAACACTGCAAATCCAGGATATTTTTTTATAAAATAATGGCACAATTTTTAGAATTTCAGATATCAAACATGCTTGAAAGAAACTTGGCTCTTTCTACTGGTTCACGTATGGAGTTCAGCTTTTCAGCTGGTCCTCTATGTCCAAATAAAGCACTCTGTCCATCAAAGCAATTTCATGCCAAGTTTTAAGGGTAGCTTTTCAGATGCCTCATGCCATGTTTGACAAAAGGGCTGAGAGAGGGACCGACAAATTATAATCATACACTTGTCATCCTTTCTGTGCAGGCATCAAGCAGAACACAGTGCAGAATTACTTGGGGGGAGAAGTGGGGGGGTTTGGTTGTGTCACTGTCAACGTGTGTTGACGGAGCTCCTGACTTTCAGCTCCTCATCCTTAGGGATGACTCTGCTCAGAAGCAGCTCAGTACATAGGCTCACAGCTGTACAAATATAAATATATTAGTGCCTGCTTACCTGAGGGTAACAGTGCAGCTAAAGAAAATAAATTTGCACTTCTCAGCTGGCAAGGGAGGGGGCACTGTTTGGGTATTCCCTCTAATGCACATTGTTAGGTTTCTGTATTGAGGTGCTGCCCCTTCCCACCACTTGGATGGAATAGAGAGAGACAAATCCTCTTTAACACTAATTTGCCATTTTCTTCCAAAGTATCTGTCACCCTAATACAGGTTGTTTATGTATTAACGTGCTGAGAAGAGAACCTCTGCATCAGCAGTTGTTCTGTAACTGCAAGATTTGGGATGCATTGAGATCTTTATTGGCTTAAAAGATAAACATAGATGTCCTAACTTTGAAAACAGTTATTATGCTGGCATTAAATTAGAATTAGTCTCTACCAGTACACCTTTCCTTAGTTCAGGTAGATTTTTTTACTACATCTTTTTTTTCTATTTGTTTCCTCACTGGAGTCACCCGTTGTTCCTAACACTCGAGCGATATTGTGGGCAAAGCATATACAGTACAAAGAGTACACAATACAGTTTCATAGCAGTGAATGTATAAGACTGTGTTCTGAACTCTGGATGATGGTTAGGCAGGACTTAACTGTTGGACGTGCAAGTCTGGCAAGTGAGTAGAACCGGATTTTTGGCCTACGCTGAGCAGAAGTGTTACGCAGTTTGTTCAGATTGGGGCACTCCATCCTGTGTGTTCAGAAGCAAAAGCCATTGCCTAGTGTACATCAATAGGTCAATTCCAGTTTATTTTCATACTCCTCCTCCTATGTGGAGCATTCCTGAGATGTTGACTACATTTGAGTGGGTGTCATAGATAGGGAATGCTTAATTACATATAATAAACCCACTTTATAAAAAAATTTGTGGTACTATAAAAACTCCACTGTGTTGCACAACACAGATATTCAGATCTTGTCAGCAGTGGCAGAAGCATGGAATCTTCCTGTTCTGAAAAGTCACAGCTTCTGCAATGCTTGAACAACAGGAAAACATACAGCTGCCAGCAGTATGAGATCTAAGGCAGGCAGCTGAGCAGTGCCGGCGGGTAACAGTGCTGGGCACTAGTTAAGTTGCTGTGTATTTGTCACAAAAGAACTGTGTTGCTGTGGATGTTGGAATTTATATTTACAGAGTCAGTCTCGGTACACTGATACAACGTGTCTTTGGAATAGTTGTGCTCTTCTGGAAGATTGCCCTGTATGTAAGTGTCTAACCAACACGTGTTTGTCTTCTCCATCCAGTGTCTCCATCCAAAGCACCCAGCTGGACTTCCCCCTCCTCCAACTCTTCGGAGAGGCAAGCCCATGCCTCGGAGAGCAGCTGGACAACCAACTCGGAAGACACCAGCAGCCCTAGCATTGCTCCCTCCTACACAGATCTGCAGTCAATTAATACTGAGGACTTGACCAGTGGTGGAACATCTGCAGCAGATTCAGCTGGTAAGAGGGAAGCCTTCAAGCTTCCATCTCGATCTTTTTGATGCTACTCAAACTCACTGCTCAGAAGTGAGCTACAGGGGGAGGATCCAAAGCAGGATGAACTCAAGGATTACACAGACTAACACTTTGTTCTAGTCCAATTCCCCAAAAAATCACACCTGGGTTTGACACGCCCCTGGTACTTGCAGGCTCCCAGAGTAAGAGCCAAATGCAACTATGTACCTGTTGGTGGACTTGTCTGAGTGAAATGTTGGAGCATTTCTGGTTTTTGCATACCACATCAGCTTAAGCTGATCTAGGAGCTAGTTCTCAGTATATTGTGGGAGAGGCTGGATGCCCTTCCTGAACTTCTGTGCAGAAATTTTCCAAACTTGACTGCATATTCAGCTGAGGCAGGTCCAGCTCTGCGTGCCCCTCTCTGTTTCAGTGGGCGCCAAGATGCAGACCCAGGCTGCAGGATGTGTTCTTTGCGCTGCGCTTTGCACTGTTACTGTAAAGTAATGCAGAGAGCATCGGAGTTGCCAGAGTCTGGTTCAGTAGCAGGTTTTGATCATTTAAGGATCCTGTATCTGACCTTGTAGGGATCTATTCAGATGGCATCCTGACTGTGGAAAAACATGCTGCATGGCATTGTAGCTTGCTGTTCCCCAGTTGTACTCTAGATAATCTCTGAAGCAAGAGAAATAAAACAGAGTGGTGCCACCCGTGTCATGCAGAGTTGGGATGACGAGAACTCCTGGATGACAAAGCAGACTTTCACAGAGCAGAGAAAGAGCTGGCATGTCAGGACACACAAAAGAAAAAAAAAAATACACAGCTCCAGGAGGAAGCACCTGCAGTATGTTGGAAGCTGTTCACCCCAAGCTGAGGAAGGTCAGCAGCTACCCAGTTTGGTGTTGGAATTGACTCGCTGGTGTCATGGTAGCTCAGGCATGTCAGATGTTTAATGTGTTTCCTCTCAGGTGGTGAATGTAACAATATGTGTGAAATAAGATCTGTTTGGGGAGAATGGACTCCCTAAGCCCCACTGAGGTCATACACATCCCTTCCATAAGGAACCTATACGTATATCACCTGAAAAGAGTATTATTTGATGGTTCAGTGAAACTGGGTTGGGCATCAAGGCAGCTTCATAAACAGCAGCACGGTGGGTGCTGGCTGAGTGCTTAAGACAAAGGATTTGTGGAGGGGTGGTTTTTACTTTGGAGAAGTAGAGATCTTTCTTCCAATAATACAGTTACCTCAAGTCTGACCATTTTTCTTCTAGAATACTCTGCTTGTCTGTACCTCTGAGTTTGGAAGCCACTGACTGGTAGAAAGCTAGAATAGGCAAGCTGGTGTCATGTGCCAGCTGTTTGGATGCCAGCGTGGGCATCAGTTTGTTCTGATGAGCTCATGTCTGTTAGGGTGAAGTGTAGGAGTTTTCCTCTGGAGGACATGCTGGATATTGCTGTTTTGTTGATTTGGTATAGGTTGCCAAAGGGTGGCTGGGACTCTCTCCATGTGAGGAAGGGAAATGAGGGATGCCCAGTTCTTATGTACCTTTGCATCGTATAGAGAAACGAAAGGTAAAAGTGCTGCTGTATGTCACTGGTATGCATATGGAATTATTTGCTATATATGGCTGAAAGAGAAATTGATACATCAGTAAAAGCTTTGTATGCAACCTTCTTACTCTTCTTTCTTTCCCAGTCAGTCACAAACTGACATGTTTACTAGCAGAAAAGGTACAAAAAATCATTCCAATCACCTATAAATTTTCAAAAGTAAAAAAGAAGGTAATATAGGCAAGGCTGTGTCATTAGCTAAAACATAAGGTGCACTACCTTAGTGGTACTGGAACTTGAAGTAAGAAATACATTGAATCTTCCTACCACCAGGTACGGAGTTTGCGAAAGGGCAGCGTGAACAAAGCGCGTCTGTTTGTTGCCCTTCATGGGGTGGCTCCCAGCCCACCCCTGAGGTGCCTGCTGGCACCAGGCAAGGACCGTGGAGGTGAGGGACCTGAGGACCTGGTGGCCACGGAGCTGTTGTGCAGTTCTGACTGCTTCTCTGTTGTTCCCTCCGCTTTCATCCCACCCTCACAGGGCGTAAGTGGACAAAAATGCATGATTGCTTTCTTCTCTTTTCTCTCTGCCCCTCTCCAGAAATTCAGTTTTTCAAACCTGCCTTGATTCAAGCATTTGATTTACATTTCTCTTCTCAAAAGACTGGTTGCCTCAGTCTGTAGTGGAGTTTGAAGGCTCTGTCAAGGCAATGAAATAACATTTATTTTTTCCGTGAAGGAAAAGAGAGGAATCCTCGTGCTCTATGTGATTATGAAGTCACATTGCCAGTTGAAGTCACTTTAGCCAGTATGTTGACTCCAAGGTCAAGCTTGATGGAGGGGGAAAAAAAAATTCATTTCATTGCTAAAAAATCCAGCAAAAATAAGAAAACGACTTTTGATCTATTTAGTGATGGTAAAGAATCGGGTCTTTAAGAGTAGCTTGGGTTTAATATTGTTTCAAGCAAGAAAAACCTATTGGGGAGAAAAGCATGAAAGGTTCTACTCAGCAGTCAGGCACTGAGTAAAATGACTGTCTTAGCCATGGTGAATTTTTATTGCCTGAACAGCATAGAGGAGAATCCAGGATAAACTCTGTTCGGTAATTTCACAACTTGCCTTGAATTTATCCTGCATGCAGAATGCTTGAGCATCAGCTCTCTGTTAAAAGTTCGGGACAGGGGGCTGTGTGTGGGAGCAGATGCAAGCCTGAGGTAGGTCTGACTGCAGGCATACACACAGCCCGCTCCCAGCAGTGGGAATGCGCATCTCGGTGTCCAGGGCTGGCAGGCTCCAAGCAGGTGAAATCGGCCGGGGAATCAACTTTCTCACAGCTGACACAATATTTGAGTGTAAAGGAATTCCATGGGCTTGAGCTTTATCTAGTGCATGTGTTTATGTAAGATAGGACCTAGGAAGATATCTGAGAAAGAGGGTAGAGACCTGAATGATCCCAACCTGAGAGTTTTACCCTCAGTATGGGGGGGACTGCAGAAAGTCTTCTGGCTGATGGAGTCGGGATAAGCCCAGTGACGTCCTATAACGGCAGCAGAGCTCACAGCGGTGAAGGTAAATATTGCATGAACAGAGATGAAGGAGAAGACTTGCTTTTCAATCCAAGTACAGCTGGAAGATGCTGCACTTTATTGCCTGTGCTAGTCTGAACTCTGGCACCAAGGAGCCTTTTATATGATCCTCATCTTTGTCAGCATGGGGGGATATTTTAGCCTGCAGCAGCCAGCCAATACATTTGGGTCAAGTGGCAGCAGGCTGCCCGTTTAATGTGGGCATGTTTATATGGTTATAACAACGCGCACTTCACAACAGCTGGGGTTTCACAGGGTGTGTGAAGCTGTATTTGGTGCTGGTGAAGTGGCGCATTGCCTCGAAGCTTCCTACCGTACATCGCCGTGTCGCGCAGCTTGGATCAATGAGCATGGAAAGAAGCGGGAACTTTTGGCATTTGTGCTGTACTCTGCAAGATGAGTAACACAGGACATCTCTGTTACTGATACAATGCGAGTATTTTATTCATTCGGAAGCAGATGCCTGTTTCAGCTTTCAAAAAAAGCCAAATATCTACATGTCAGAGGAGCAAGGGAGAGGCCTTCTTGTAGCTATGATCATAGATTGGGAAGCACTGGGATGTGTTCTGAGGGTGTGCATAAATACCTTACAGCTTGATTTGGATTTCTGCATTTCACCATTCATCTCTAAAATAATTTTTATTTATATAAATTAAAACTAAACATTGACTTGTATACAAAATAAAAATCATTATATATGATCAATGCATATATAATAAAATAGATAAGATATATCCTTGTGTAGATCATAGAATCATAGAGTGTTTTGGGTTGGAAGGGACCCCTAGAGGTCATCTAGTCCAACCCCCAAGATCATAAACTATGTATTGTAGTAAGTTAATATAACAAAATCTATATTATATGATAATGCTCTGTGTGTGTGTGTATATATATAAAAAGCTGATTAGCCTTGTAGACATAGGTTTCCTGATAGCTATTTTAAGTGCATTGTTGCTAGTTCTGTTGTTGTTTCTGTTGTGATTTGTATCTTAGGAGAGCTGCAGCTACACCGTGTTTGATGTTGACGGTTCAATTTGCTGACCAGTTGTTCTGTTTGGCATTCTCCTGAAGCTCTGGGACTATTGGGATACTGAGGAAATGGCTATGTTGTTATTTTCTGAGAACATCTGTGTGTTTGGAGATAGAAAGTTGCATGTGTGGCCCCTAACTGCTCAAAATCAGAAATTTAAATAGCATGAGGAATTAATTCTGAGAACGCTGTTATTTTCAAAGCAAATTGCATGGTTTAAGGGGGTTCTGCTGCTTCTCTTTTAAAACTTGGAGATGGCAACTCTTGCAGACTCAGCTCCAGCTGTTTCTTGAAGGTAATGGAGAGCAAGTACTAACTTTTCAAACCTTTTCCCGATGCTTTTCTGGGGTAGTTCTCTTAGAAATATTTTTTTCTGTAACTGTAGCCAGCTAGATACTGAGTCCTGACATGACGACTGCAAGAGGGGTGTTCTGTAGGTTTCAAACAAGGAACTCTGAACAGATTATACAGCCGTGCAATGTGCTTGCACTGAATGCCAGAAAAGGGCTACAAGCTCTGACGATATTCCAAGCTAATCACCAGAGCAAGGGGGAAAACAGCGTACGCTGCTGGTTACCACCTCCCACCCAGAACTGCACTTCAGTTATGCTGTGTAACTCTTAACCAGATCACTTTCATGTCCCAGGCACATGAAAAAACTTGGATGTGAGAGCCTGCCAAAGCCAGCTGGAGAGACTGTAGAGAGGGATATCAAACCCTTGCTTCAAGGAGGAGGGGACTCCAGAATACCATGAGCAAACAGCACCTAAAATGTGTTCTTGCAGAACTCCAACCTGCAAAGGCTAAATTGAGCACCAGAGGCAGGGTTTTTTTAATT